CCCCAAAACCCCAAAACCCCAAAACCCCAAAACCCCTGAAGAAGTTTTAATGTTGAAATTGAGGAGATATTGATAAATTAACCTACGGGTTGATCGAATCAGGATCAATCTCTCTCGCACTCTTGATCTGAGGTAGGGACATTGTTTGAGACCCAAACTGGGATCTGAGGCCTTCACCCTTCTTTAATTTCTTAACTCCTCTTTCATTGAACGGGTTTCTTGAGAGTGCTAATGTTTTATCACTAAGCATGGTCATGTTCTTCTTGAAAAAGTCTTCTGCTTCATATTTCATACTTAACTTATGGCCCATGTCTCTAGGGCTACCAGGGTAAGCAGCCTCTGAACCGCTCATAGCCTCACTTCTTATCGTAATTTTGGGTTGTCTAGTATTGAACAGACTGTTCAGTGCAAGATCTCTCTGGCTATTTCTTAGATCATTCTCTTTCAGATACATGTTGAAGATCAGCTTTCTTTCAGAAGTCAGGTTGGCTCCTTCCTGCCTCATTGATTTAGTGATTGGGATTTCTTCAAGTCTATTGAGCATCCTTCCCTTGAGGTTTATCAAATCTATCCTTGAATAAGTAGGCCCCTCATTTTGAGGGAATGTCACAGGACTTGGCTTATAAGCTAAACACGCGATCTTGAACGCCTTCATTACTACAGAAGATTGTCCAGAACAAGTCAGGCATTGCTGATCAATAGTAACATATGGATTTGTGTTTGTCACTTTCTTCTCATTTGGTTTTGATAATATGGTCTTTTGTGATGCTTTTTCTTCTTTATATCCCATTAGTGCAAGTTTTTCTCTATCAATCTCATCCTGAAGCTCCATGGAATGATTAATCATGGCTGTCTGGACTAGCAAATTGACTGTCTCTCCAAGAATCTCTGATATATCATCCTGGTTGTTAAAGTTATTCTTCAGGTGAGCTACTTTCTCTTCTAAATTCTTAAGTTTGAGGTTGAAGTTAGCCTTTTCTCTGTTCCTTCTGATCAACTCTTCTTCAAGATCTTTCTGGATATTTTCAACGTATTTCTGAATGAAGCCCTTTTTGCTTTCAAATTTAGCATTGAGAACTTCTTTTTCTTTACTGAAATCTCCTTTGAGCTCCTTGAGTGTTTCTTCAATCATGGATTTCTCAATCACAATTGCTTCTTTGATCTCTTTGACGTCATCAAGAGCCTTAAAGATCATTTCCGCAGTATCTTCTTCAAGATCTTCTATTTTAAGCTTTCTGTGGTTAAACTCTGATTTATCATGGAATTGGGATTTTTGGGCTTCCTTGTTGATTCTGTCTTGCTTCAAGCCTACACTTTTTGAATTTTTCTTTAAGCCAACACTCGAAGTATCTCCTATAGAATGGGCCCGGTTCATGCTCTGATGATAATCATCATTTTTGGAATCTTCGGAAGATTTTAAGGTTTGGTTTGTCGGTTTAGTTGGTTTAGAGGTGTTTGAATAACTTCTTTGTCCTCCGTATCTATTTTCTTTATAATTCATAGCATCTTTGGTGAAACCTGCACGCTGGAAACGCTTCTTGAGTAAATTCTTAACACTAATATCCTTTTTACGAGAGATTTGGCCTGGTTTGCCTTCCTGTTCCTCTTCATCGTTAAGGTAAGCGATGAGGTTGATAAGATAGTCAACCACTCTGTCAGCATCAAGTTCAAATTCTTCCTCCTCTTTGAGTAATTTTTCTATTCTCTCGATCTCGCGCTCCTCCATTAAATTGAGCTCTTCTTTCTGGCCTTCAAGATCAGTTGTCAGTTTCTTGTATTTCTCGATCATAGATTCTAGGTTATCAAAAGGAATTAACTTACTTGGTCCAAGGCTGGAGTAAGGAGTATTTTCCTGCTTTTTAGAGCCATCTTTGGTCTCTTCGACTCCTTCAGGGATTGGCTCTACCTCTTTGGGAGAATCTAGGGATTACTAATGCACTTACCTTGGTCAAAAGCAGCAATATCTCCTGGTTTTTCTTTCTTGAAAATTTGTTTGTATCTGTAAACTGGGCTGATCTGGTTAATTGCTTGATTCATTTTTGAATAAAATTCCTATAAGTGAATACAACTGGATACCTTGAGTTGTCTTTCAATCTTGACAGGGATGAAATCTTCAATATAGTTATCGATGAGCTGGACACTTTGAAATACATCTTCATTAAGGAACCTAACGTGGTTAACATCCTTCTTTATTTTGATCAGTTCGTCGTTGAAATCACTGGTGTCTATTTTGAGCTTGTCCATTTGTTGGATTTTCTTGTAAATCTCAGCGAAGTTCTTCTGGTAAGACTGGACGACCATATCATGTCTCTTGAGTTCATCAAAGTGGTTGTTGATGTAGTTCTTATTTACCTTAGATAACTCCTCAGTTTTGAGATACTGATTTCTGAGGGTAAGGAAATTCCTATTCATTTCTTCCTTGTATTTCAACTGCTCTCTTGAGAATTTCTCTTGGAATCCAGTCAGTTGATCGAAGAATCCATTGATTTCATGTTTGATATCATTTGCTTGCTTTTTAAATGTCAGACTGAGCTCTTCAATTTGAGTCATACGATCTTGGGTAGATTCAAGCTGAACTTTGATACCTTCTATAGCTTGCATATTCTTAGCTTCTCTGACCTTTCTCTCATTTTCAATATCGAAAAGCTTCTTGTTGAGTTCGTCGATGCCACTGTTCCTATGACTGCGTTTGTGCATGACGAATTCCATTTCATCTTGCTTTCTCTTAAACTGGTCATGGTTTTCAGTGAGGTGCTGGACGCTTTCTTGTAAGTCAATGGACCTGACCGCATATGGTTCGAGGATATCCCTGATGATCTCTCTGACTCTATTCTCGAAAGCAAACCATTCTATTTCTTTATTCTCTATATTAGTCTTCTTGGGTAGTTTATTCAAGACGACTGATTTGCGAGACATCCCTGAGATAGGTCGCTCATTAAACTTGCTTTCTAGAGGAGTCCTGATGACCTTCTCTCTTACTGAATTTATGTCAAATTGTGACCTGCCTTTGTGGGTCATGCTTTCAAGTTTATCTCCTGCAATTTCTGATATCCTTGGTTCTGGAGGTACAACAGTACCTGAGAGTGTTCTTTTAGGCCTGTCTTGGCTCTCTATACATCATTAATCCTTCTAAGATGGATTCTTACCAGCAGGTGTGAGATTAGATATATCCCTTGGGTCAATTTGCTTCATATTTACTGAAACTTGGCTTTTTCTACATGAAATTATCCAAGAAAATGCTAAAATTCTTACACTTCTTCAGCTTGATTCTCATCAGGAGGGTTTTCAACATTCACTCTTATTTCCGGATCTAATAATAATCTAAAAGAGTTACCTGGCTTTTGTTCTGGCTGGTCAGGGTTCGAGTTTTCCATAATTATTATAATCAAGAATAAATTTCAAAATATTCAGATTATTAGGGGTTTTGGGGTTTTGGGGTTTTGGGGTTTTGGGG